GCAGCCAATCAGTTTAATGAAACTGCCACACTCAATCGTTAGGAAGTACGTTACATCAAGTTAGAATCCCATCATTAGTCTGGAGTAACAGAGAAAAACCACGCTGATGTTCAGTCACAACTTGTCGAGATCTGAATTGGCTTCCTCCTGCATATAAATGGAAAATAATAATAAAAAATGTGGAATTTATGGAGCTCACCAGACGTCGTTACGATAATTACATCAAAAGTGAATGGCACATATGAAAGAAACATGAAACTGACACAGAATTTTAATGAGAATCTCCAAGTACAGCCATTACGAAAGACAAAGAGACTACACATTAAAGCAAACTGGATTTAAGTCGCCTATAGTATGCAATGGTATATGCTGAGGTATCAGCAGCACTGGATTTCTCTTACTAGAAGAGTTATCAGTAAAAAATGTAGTCTCTTACTCTGAAAGCTGATTTTCACAAACAGCGATCTGCTTTCAGTTGCTGAAAATATAATCCCAAGTCTCCTCTGTGGCTTTAGGTACAAATAATCCATATTCATTATCATTGAGCAGAAATCTTATCTCTGTAGGAGGTTGTCTTTTGGGGTTTTGCGCCACGTAGTCTGATAGAAGTTTACCAACGTTTCGGAAGTTCTTGCTGCTTCCATCATCAGGGCGATCGCCAGACTACATAGCGCAACAACTCAGAATCTTACCTCTTCTAACATAAATCTGCAATCACTAAATAACTGGAGCAACTGTAGGATGGATTTTAAACAGAATTTGATAATGTTCTTAATTCTGAAAAATGGCATGTATAAGACATTACTTTGGGTTAGCAGTAAAATACCGGATCTACAATTTATGAGACTCGGGGCGTGGGTGCATTGCCCAGGGTGCGCCCGCAATGATGATGAAGATGAGAATGGAGTAATTTTTGGGATGCCACGGATTTTTTTTTTTTAGTGTTCTGTCTGACGACAGGTCCGTATGAACAGGATCCTTCCATCCTTTTCTCCGACTGGGACCTGTTCATATATGTTCTTGGCAGATGATCCAGAAGTGGTTTGCCATTGCCTTCTTCTGTGTGTGAATGGAGTAATTGTTGGGATGCCACGGAGGAAAACTCCGTGTTGCCTAGACCACGGCCTTGCCCTACACAAGTTATAAATTCGGGCACCGCCGGGAATCGACTCCGAGACCCCAAGATTACAAGGCCAGCGTTCTAACCGATAGACCACCGTGGCGGGTTCAAAATTTCAATGCTAATTGTAATTTTACATTAGACTCAAATCGAGCAGGAATAAACTCTGAAAGAAATTTACTACGACCAGCTACGTACTTGAAAATACAGGATACAGAACTTCTGAACTATATTACAGGGGGGAAACGCAAAGTTACCTTAATGTTAAACGTATTTTCACATGGTACAATCTGTTACCATTGTTCCAGATCTAGATATCAAGTCATGGCAGACTAGCCTTAAAAGACGTCCATCTGATTAACGAAACTACATCAAGGCGGTATAAACATTACGACACAAGTGAAAACATTTAGCCACCTTAGATCAAAAAATGGCTTTTTAATTTTGAATCTGTCTGCGTACAGCCTTGCAGGTGTAAACGTATCAACTAATTTCAGAAACATTTTAGCCCGCTTTCCTTACTTTATGAATAAACTGATAGATTTTCAAAAAACTTTTCGGGGATATCACGCCACACTTCTGTTCATTTTAAACAATAAAATACAATACTTCCTTCCAGTGGTGAATTCTGGTCGAGAAGTCAGGCCATGAGAAAATGCAATCACACCACAGCGCTTACGTATTTAAATAATAATAACACGTGGCTGTTGTGGTATATAATATAAAATTCCTTTCATATTCCTCCAATTTTAATGGTCTGACAAAGACCTGAGCATTTGTCACGTTTTCTTAATTATTTTTAAAGGAAAAATAATAATACATTAACTACTTCAAATCTATATTGTGCTTCCCAGTTGCGTGTGATAATCACTATTTCCACATACATGAAATTTATAGTCACATAACAAAGATATTCGTTAATTTTGCCACAATATTTTTTATGATAAAACTTAGACAGCAGGTAACCTTTAGGTTACGTGTAAAAACTACAAAGACAAAAGAAATTTATGAACAGCAAACATTACTTTATTACGTAGTGTAATTATTCTTGTATTAAAATTTTCCCTATTTTTGGGCTGCAAGAACACGGTCTCTTAATTCTGATAACTTCTTGTTTCATAAATAAAGAGGATGAGGAAGTCCACATCCTGTTTCAGAAGGAAAGATTACGAAGTTCGAGACGTTTACGAAGACCGCAAAACAGCAAAATTAACGAAATACGAGGAGCTAACTATTCGACATAAAAAAGGTACTCGTGGGTTATCGGGACACATCGCTTTAAAAATAGGTTAGGTTAGGTTAATGTGTGTGGATAAATGACATATACTTGAAAGTTATTATATTTTATTTCAATAAATAACTAACCTAACCTAATCTAACCTAACCTAACCCAAACTAACCTAACCCAAACTAACCTAACCTAACCCAAACTAACCTAACCTAACCCAAACTAACCTAACCTAACCTATTTTTAAAGCGATGTGACCCGATAACCCACTAGTACCTAAAACAAATTAAGGTATCAGAAGCAGATTTCAAGTTCGTTTCGAGTAACATTGGTGACGACAAGTTGACCGATTTCCAACAGAACAGTGAAACACGACACTTAGAAAATGAGAGACTTTCTTCACAGAAGTAAACACACACACACGTTCATCAACACAAATCATTACAGTATCGAAGCAAAAATTACTCTACAAATTTACTAGAAGTTGTAACATTCATTAGCAATCATAGAGACTGTTGAAATTACGTACTTTATAAACTACTAATTAATACAAAAAAAATAAGCTTCATAATTTGCTGTCTTCTTTAGATATTTCAAAGTTACTTTCCACAGCTCTGAACCTGAAGTTAATATAAAATACTCAAAGCACCAAAACCAAGTTCCCACTCCCATTACGAAAATTGCTTGCAAATTCAGATCCAGTTTACCGTCAATTTCTTTTAAAGAAAATCTTGTTGAGATTAAAAACTGATAACAATTACAAAACACATCAAACTTTGAAAAAGTGCAAATCGAATGTGTGGACCTTCGAGAGAGAAATTAAAAACAGAATAGAGAAAACTGTGAAATGAGCTTCATTTTTACTCGCCACTTAAGAATTGGGCGATAAAATCACAAGGAACATCAGATGGGTGGGGCCGGCTGACGTTGGTCTGAAAATCTGACGGAAAGAGACCATTTGGAAGACACAGGCATGAATAGAATAATATTAATGGATGTTAGGACACAGACTCAACACATCTGGCTCCGGACTGGGTTTAGAGGTTAGGTTCTCATGAACGAACCTCTGGTTTCATTAAAGCTATGGCCACGTAACATTTCATTTTTGGAAAAATAAAGCACAGAAAATTCTTTTGCTAACTGATTTCAATAAACGTGTCCGTGAGAGACACCTGATATTCCAAGAACCAAACAACTGTGTGGGCTATGCTACAACAGATAACACTTAACATGAGTCACATGAACGTGTGACAATGCACCCCGACATAATCAAAATATATATATAATACCAACTTTTACAACATAAACAATATCCTACACCAAATTATGTTAAACTAAACAACAATAAGAAGTAAAGATTCACGAATTTCTTAATTCAAAACTGTTCTCTTCTAATCCTGCAGAAGACGAGTCCAATTTTGAGGTTATGTAATTTATATGAACTTAATTAAAATAGCTGAGTGTGTTATACGATTTATTTATAATTATGTATAACTACAGTGAACAGATTGAACTATGTATTACAACAGTTTCATCTTCAGCACTGTATAATGTATCAGTCGCAGGAATATCTTATCTACTATAAAAATTTCTGATTCCCCGTTGTCGTCAGCCAATTTGTCGTCAAAAAATGACGTCATAAACAATGTCAACTATAAACTAACTCGGCATTGTTGTGGAACACAACAATGCCGAGTTTAGTGTCTTAAGATTTTAAAACCCCCGAAGGGGTTGGTTGCTTTTTAAAAACTTGACCAGCCCCTCCGAGGAGCTCCGAAAGGAGCGTTCTGCCCTAGTATTATAACAATGAGTGGTTATTTCGATGGTGAGCTACAGTCTCGCCACATACTCCAAATGAAGACAGAAACATATAAACGGCGTGAATAAGAATGACTACAGACAGAGCCGGACTTTGACCTTCTGAGGCCCTAAGCCATGTCAAGTTTTAAGAGGTCAAAAAAATTCTGAAGCTTAAACCTCCATTTATTATCCCTATTGAAAAAAACATTTAAAAATTAGCATAAAACTTAAGTGAATGGAAGCACTATACTAGCATTGATGTGAAAAAATTACTAAATAAAGCTACATTAGAATTTATAATCTACTTTTGGGGTCCCACATTTCGTGGGGCACTATTCTGTAACTTGGAGCATGCGTTAAGACCGGCCCTGACTTTAGGTCAATACTTCCTTATGGTCTCTTTACAGGTTCAACAGGGCTTTCAATATTCAGATCATCACGTTATACACTCGACACTAAACACGTAACTGGATAAGAAATTGATTTCTTTAAAAGGAGCTAATGAATAAATAATTTGTCAATACCACATAAATTGGATTCATTTTCAGAAAATTCATTTTGCGTATCGAATGGCGGGATGCGTTGCAACTCATGACGTGGCTGACCTATTGAAGATATTCAACTATGAAACCCAGTTAGCTTACAGATGTTTCCAAATACAAAGATTTTTACAGGATGCAAGTGATTTTATGGGGGTGCTTGTAGTCTCTGTCGATGCACTTCGTTCGTTCGCCGGCCGGCTGACGATATTTGAATTCGGCGCCAATCTTATTATGTACCAGCGAATAACACAGAGGTCAAGTTATGCCCCGGACAAACAGGATTTGTTTTCTGAATTCAATATTACTTTACCTTTCTCTGAGCCTCAGCAGCGAAACCAGATTTTGTTGCTCTGTTGTTTGCCATCGTTGTTACACCTAACACAACACGACCTTCGAAACAGCAGTAAACACGTCCCAACACGTTCACAGCTACAATGACAGTTGACTAAACCCGGCCGTCCACGAAGTACTTTCAAGGTATTGAGTTTTCCATCCAAAGTCACGTGCCTTCATATCGACGTCTCATTGGTAGAAAATGATGTCATGGCCATGTTGCCAATACTCCATTTAGAAACGTATATGGTAAAGAGAGGTTAACACAAGATGTACAAAAAGAACTGTGACTCCAACCGTTTCAAAAGCATATTGAATATAATAAAGATTTGGAATGTTGCAGACCTAGTTTTATGGGTAAAATATGGGAAAGGAGAATGAATGCCAGACATACATCCGCCACAAAATCAATGTATCTGAGGTTTCATGTTATCTAAATATGAACTTTGACAGTAACAGATGAAAGACGAACACATTCAACATTTGAACTGACACATACTTCGAATTTTGATCTGAGGTACGATGCGAAAGCTCACTTCGCTTATCTCAAGGCCGCAGAAATTTTCCAGAGTCCCAGATAGAATCCTGAGTTAGCAGCTTTGCATAAAGACATTAAAGGCATTCGTTCATGCCTTACGGCACGCGGGGTGGGGCATGCGTCTCGATGTGAATCTGCGCATGACCTAAATGGTAAAATCCTCTCTCATCCGCTCTATAAGAGGTTATTATTTCAAGGAACTAACTGGCGATAATCTGAAGCGGTCATGACACTCAGTGTATCTGAATTATCTGACTTCAGAAATTCGGTCACAGACCCCAGAATTCAAGGGAGTGGAACGGGTATCTTGTCTGTTTGTTATCTGTGTTAGCCCACACCAGCCATTCCCTAACATTTAACAGTAACTGCTTAAAAAACTTAAAAATGGGCCATCGTACTGTACGTGACATAATGACGTTAAGACCTACTATTTGGTATCTAATGAATTATTTCCCGATTTGGCGAATATTGAAGGAAATGTATGGAAAAATAACTTTCAGGTTTCTGAAATTTGCTTTACAGCAACAGATTTGGACCATAAAAAAAATCAAGGCGAGGGCATACGCACTTATAAAATACGTGTACTCCAACGAGTACACTTTTCCATTTATGTTAATATACGTATTTGATAATATATTATTTACGTTAATCAGTGCAGATGAATTGATTCAAATGTATAAATTATTTTAAATAAAAATTTAAAACATGCAGTGCAGGTTATTTTTAATTTAAAACCTTCAGATACAATATCGACGTTTGTGCTATGAACAATTTTAAATTACATCAATAAATTTCGATTTTCCATTAATGTAGAGTAGGAAATATATATCGACACAAATCGAAATAAAATTTTCCAGACGTTTCAGGCACTCTCCAATACCAAATTTAGTCTAAATCTGTAGATTTGGAGATGACGTATGCAGACCTATAGACAGTTATATATGACAGCTTCATTATGTCTTTATTTACTGTATTTTATGTAAAGTACGCATACAAATTATAATAAATATAATTAATTTTAAAAGTTGTATTTGTGTACGTGAGAATCATTCCTTGAGCTGTTTCTGTGTGAAAACTAAATGATGTATTGTTTTAGCGTTAACTTTAATATCAAAATGGAACTATTACGCATTTCGACACATTTTTTAGGGACAGTGGGACAAAGTAAAGATGACGAGTCACACCTGTTGTGACGTAGAAGCACTCAATCATGCTTCCAATGTCATTACTGAAGAAATGAACGAATGAGGTTAGGTTATCTCCAATGCACACAGAGTATGCACCTTCTTGAAGAACTCAACACATACGAAGAACCTTCAAGATTCATGACTATTAATGACTCATTCATGACGTCATAAAATAAACTTACGTCATCTTCATGAGAAGTGCGAGGCTGTTAGCCACATTTCGTACTCGGTTTCCCATACGATGACCAACAAAAATATTTCTGGTACTGGTTACGTAACTGCCCAGAGACAATACCAGATATTTATGGTTTATGGTTTTGGAGTCGAATCATCTGCATAAGCTATTCGAACAGAGCTTTCCGACATTTGAATCAATTCGAACCACGGCAACTAAACTGATTTTCTAGCAGTGGCGTTTCATCAGTACCAGAAATAGTTCAGTAACCGATTTTCGAAATACTGACCACTCCAGCCGAGGCCTCAAATACCACGCCACAGTACAACTTTGAGTTCAAGCCTTCTCATAAAACGAGATGCCAAATTTATAGTTAACATAATTATCAGATTTAAATTAATAAATAAAATTTTAAGAAATGTATTTATTACAATAATTATCAGAAAATTATTACATGATAATTATACTGAACTGTTCTTGGATATTAAAACTATTCTAGTCAGTAAAAAAAACGTTGGTTTACATGCCACGCCGCGTAGAATGTTTTCTCGTGGGAAAGAATTCGGTGATTCCCCTTAATATAATATAATAGGATCATCACTTGCGTTGCCTAGGTTATCTTAGACGGTCAAGTGTAGTTCTGCATTTGGTGACTTAAAAATATATTTTTAAAAATTTAAGCTATCATGGTTCCAAAGCGTAATAGTAGTGCTGTTACTGATAAACCATATAACATACATATATTATAATAAAACGTATTGTATAGACCATTCGATGTTTAGTAAATGGTTTTAATGCTTTAAAATGATTGCTAACGTATGGTAAATCTTCAGGAATGCAAGATACACATAACGAACAACGTCTTGAAACGGAACTCGTTCGTAAACCGAGAGTTGCCTGCATTCTTAACCACCATCTAGATCTGGAAACCGTTTTTCTGATCAGAAACTGTGGACTCGACGTGCGGTAGTGAAACAGGGGACGGACTAACAAAAAATGTTCTTTTATATTCGGATTTTTATTCCATAATGAATACTCTGAAGGAAACTCAGAACTAATCATTTTACTGACTTCAAATTCCTTGGCCGAAATTTGCCAGAAGAGAGACTGTAATGGACAACACGCGGCCCGCCATATTCTTCGTCATAATGTTTTGTACACATCCGTTGTCATCGCTGATTGGGTGACTTTTGTATCTGAACTTAAAAAAACACGCCATTGTAATTTATTTAACCTACTTCAATTTAGTTTATGGCAAAATTAAAGTCTTGTCATAAACAAGGCTTTTATTAAAACAACTGACGAGTAGTTGAAAAAATAATGAATGCCAAATGAATGATCCAATTTAATCTCGGAACGAAAGAATAGAGACCAACTATATGACACACTGTGACAGTTCGTTTCTCCACCACTAGGAGTCGCCCAGCTCGGTTGTAGCTTTGCTGATGTTGAGGTTCATGGGGTTAATTTGGGAACTTAGCTCAGGTGAACATGGACTTGTTCTTCATGGAATATTGCTTGGAGTATAAACTAAACGCCAGGGATAGTGGCTTCAGGTAAATGCCCCACGTTGCATTACAGAAATATAATTATTCATAGACAATAACACAGTATTTTATTTTTGAAGTTGACGGCCATTTTCGTGTTTCCTTGTCGGAATCCAAGTCTATAACCCTCGGTGTTTCCAGCGTTGCCGGACTTCCCTTTCTGTAATTTTGAAGGCTGTTTCTTTCAATAATGAACAAATAGTCTGATTGGTCTTATCAGCCCTACTTCACGTGGACGTAGGACTTTTCAAAACAATTGCTTCACATCAAATAGCTCTCGCCGCCATATTTCGCAAAGGGTCCCGTACCAAATTACAGTTTGTAGCTCGTCGGGACTTGAAACCCAGAAACGCGCGGTCACAACACTTTACTTATGAAAGTCATAACCTAACCTATGTCTAAGTTGGCCGCTGTAGTAAGACGTGTTGTTTATTTTTGATTAATTCAAGAAAATTATTAATTTTAAACTCATCTCCATACATAATTCAGTTCATATGAAGGAAATTCTCAAGAAAGTCCTTGTTAAGAATTAAATTAATCTGCGTACATCTGTCAAAACAACGAACAGACACGAGCAACGCAGTTTTTTCGTGTCAGACCGAAGTCGATGAAGGAAATCGCATTCGAGATATTCGAGTCTGAAGAAAGTAGAAGCGAATTTCAGACGCCACATGAAAAGAATTAGAATTCCTCTTTCCTTATTGTTTAACTAGGGAATAAATGTTCCTAGGTGTCTATCCAACTTACCTCATTTATCATTTTTATTCACAAAAGGACACGAGATTTTAACACCTTGGTCTCCCAGAAAATATCCATCTCCTATCGATTATCGAATCGCACTGCCTAGAGTCGAACTAACTCTCTGGAGTCCACGTATGTCATGACAGCAGTTACTCACGTGAATACGAAGTTAAAATTACTGTAAAGGAGGATGAAGTGTTACGATGTACATTTTCCCCGCATCACAAGGACCAAAATAAAAATAAATGGGAAACGTTCAGAGTATACGTACAATTATTTAACACAGACGTCGAGTTTTTCGAAATTTAGCTAATCAATCATATCATTGCGGAATATGCATGATCAGACATCCATAAAGCATGCATTGCCTAGAAAAAGGGATCGCAAACCGCGGTCCACCGATGTCTCTCGTGTATCTCACGTACATTTTTGTAATATTGTTATCACTCTGTACAATGAAAAACATCCACTGCCTAAATCAACATTTAATTTGTGGAGAATAATGAATAAAAATAACAAATTGAGACACGTGTTATAAAAATTTATTGAATAATACTTGTAATAATCATTATCACTCACATTGCCATGAAATTTAATTTGCGTTATTTTTAACTCAGCGGCCTGTAGTCGATAAACAAGTTTGGATGGAACTACAGATCTTAAACGTAAAATGTCTTTTCGCAGGAGATTTTTTCCCCAACTCTGACAGTAACTAATCTAATATTTTTTAATTGGGACACATAAAAATAATTTCGGTAACGGACTTCAAAAGACGCCCTTCGTGAGATTTAAGATTTTCACGACACCGAAAAATTTAAACTGTGGTCGTCTAATTTATGACACCGTTCACACAAGTATGTATAGTTACAAACGTTTCTGAGGACACTGCTGCTTCTATCTTCAGCTCCTATCCCCCGGTATGAAATCAGTAGTTTCTCGCGATAT